CAGGCCTCCAGATGCCAGCCTATTACCCACCACCTCCCCTCCTCCAGAGAGCCCTTCCTTTCAGCGTGCTTGCCAATTGTGCTAGACAGATAATCACGCTGGCACACAGGCATGGGTTTTTAAACAGCTGGGAACTAACTCACCTTCAACTAAGCACAAAGCATTATTCAAAGCTAGCTCCACGAGGATGCCGTGGGTGTGGATTGAAGACCCATCCAATAACCAGCTGTACTGATTGCACTAGTTCTGATGAAGGGTCCTGTGCACACGGAGAGGGGGTAAGAAGAGGAACCGCTGCCAGTGAGGTTTGTCTGGGAGAAGCCACCGGGACGGGAAAGAAAACAAAGAGTAGAAAAGGCAGGCGACAGTCTTCTACTGTAGACATCAGCTAAGTGACCAAACTCGTGCCGAACAAATATTTAAAATACAAAATAGATGAATATACCTTGGATAAATCATGATGTAAACTCTTTCGGTTGAAGTGATTTTTAACTTCCTGCTTAGAGGAAGGGATGCCCATGCCAGAGTCCTACACAGTCTCAGGTCCGGGACGAAGGGACTCGGTATTTGTATTTTTCAGTCCATTCATTATAATTTCCATTCTAAGGTACGCAGTCCACCTACTCTCTGGCTGCCCTAGCAAACACCGAGCAAAACGACACCCAGCCGACACTGCTGCCATCTGCACTCCACGCCGCACTTCGTATGGAGCTGGGGGCTGACTGCATTTAGCCCCGGCCATCTCTTCCACTTCCTCTTTCCTATGGCCATTCTGCTGGGGTCAGCATGTAACCCACCCAAGTGGCCAATTCGGGGCACTGTTTTCCTGTATCTTCACACAGCCCGAAGGTCAGCCGAGGTTTCCTCGTCACAGATCGTTAATCTATTCTCTCAGTATACCAGGTGCTGTCCTAAGACTGAAGCCTCTCAGCGCCAGGCAAGGATTTAGTTCGCTTCCGTTAAACCTGGGGACTACACAGTGCGGGAAGCGCTCTAGCGCTGGCCTAGACAGCAAACAAGCCTAGTGACTTTCCACCACCAGCTCCAGGGCCACCCACAGTCGCACACCATTCAGAAACCGGCACGGATCCAAGAAAGTTGTCGTACCTCCACCGAGGACAGGGAGTTTATGTCCACAATGATGGGACATCAGTTACTCTTCTCTTTCTCTCTGCCTCCCCTGCCCCCGCGTGTTTGCATGTATGAATGTGTGCGTGCATGAGTGTGTGAGCATGTGTGTGTGTATGTAGGCCACATCTGACATCAGGTGCCTTTTTTTTTTCAGGTGCTTTTCTGAGTCAAGCTTGGGGACTCGCCTCGCCTACATGAATTCCCAGGACTCAACTAGCCTGCATGCCCAGTAAGCCCCAGGATCCTCCTAGCTCTGTCTCCTCAGCACCAAGATTACAGACACACACCACGCTCCTGGCTTTTGAGTGTGGATGCTTTAAACCCAGAGTCAGGTCCATGGCATGCATGGCAACACTTACCAACCGAGTTTCCTCCCAGCTCCCTCAGCCCTTGACTTTTAGTGAGAGTCCTCTCCTGTGTCAGTTGTGGGTGGGGCTTTCTAGAGAAAGCTCTGCAGTCACGTGGTTAAGATAACAGTGAAAGATTTACTATGAAATTCATCATTTAGAAACATATCAGCCATAATATTTTATGTTCTGTACTTCCTGGAATTTTTATTTCCTAGGAATCCTGGCAACAGCGACGGCAGATGGTGTTCCCTCATCTCTTGGAGATAAACATAAACTTTTTACCATCTTTTTCATGTAAACGCAATGCCACCGATTAAACAGGAAAGTTGTTGGTTGCTTCTTAAATCGACTATGTCTGGAACAAAAAGGTACTGGAAAAACAAGAACACACAGAAAAACCTTCCTGCTAATTTGCTATGAAGAAGATTCAGTCTTCCATGAAATTAATCGCAACCAAATAAATGGACACAGAAATCCAATTATTTTTGAGACAGGGTCTCACCATGTAACCCTGGCTAGCCTGGAACTTGCTATGTAGACGAGGCTGGCCTTGGTCTTGTGAAGATCCACTTGCCTCCGACTCCAATTGCTGGGATTAAAGATGTGTTGCACCATGCTGGGCACAACCTTGATTTTTGAAAACAGATTATCTAAGTAACTGTACATTCATTAGCTGAGCCATGAGGACATGGAGAAAGGAGAACCCCCAGGTGAACCCCTGAAAGTTGGGGGCTTGCAGTAGCCATAAGGAAAGAGCCATATAGCTAGCAGAAGCTTGGAAGAGAAAAGTTTTACCGTCTTTCCTTCTCCTGTACACCCCACAAGTCACCTCAGTCAACAAAGCTGTATAACAATGACAACTAAGCCTTTTTTTCTGAGAACAGCTTCAGGGTGCTGAAGAGGCCCTAGGACCTGCAGGGCCTGCTTAGGTAGACGCCAGGACTGTTTCAGAAACGGACCAGGCAGAGGATGGGTAAGAATCTGTCATAAGTAGAGACCTGAGGTTTGCAGGCACTCGTCAGAACAGGCACCCATCCTCAGCAGATCCCATGGATGAGAGGTGCCTGGACACCATGGGCATCGCTCGTCACTTGGTTGATCACTTCCAGTTTGCCTCTCTCCGTGAACACAGGCCAGCTCACATCTGAACCCACTCACCTGCCCCGTGACGGCCTGTGACCACCCACGGAAGCAGGCTATCTAGGGTGGGCATGAAACAGCTGCTTCATGGACAAGGTCAGTCGCTGACGAAGGGCTGGGGCATGAGGAAACCCAGGATATTTGGGATACACCTTTTAATTGTCAGAATAGTCCAGGTATGAGGTGGGGGCCTCATGTGAAGCGGTTTCTTAACCCAGGGATAAACAATAAGCAACTAAACAACAGACATCGAGGACGACAGTGATAACAGAAGTACTGAGCATGAGCGGTCTACCCTGAGCCACACACAACCAGAACAACACTGCATGAGTAAGTGGCTCCAACACACAAGGGGTAGCAAAACAAATACTAGCCATTATTGTCCTAATTTTAGTTTAGATTTAGAACACTTCCCTTAGACAAAAATCTTCCTTACGATAGCAATATAATACAAATACTAACAAGCAAAGCTGTTTCCAGTGTGGCTGGAATGTGAGACCTGGCTCGTGGGCTTCCCCCATTCCACACTGGGCATTCTGTCTCTCAAGCCCAACCCTGGGATCCATCTGAGTAGCCCCTTAGAACACAACCAAGAACAAGGACTTTGCCAGTCAACTTAGAGACAGTGTGGGTGACATGCAACAGCATCTCAACCCCTCCACCAGTTAAGGACCATGAAGCATGAGCATCGGAGGTGACTGCAGGGAAAACACATCCTCCTTAAACCCAGAGGTTTGCGGAAGATGCTGAAAGATGAGCTTGTTTTACTGCGCCATCGGATGGATGCTCCCAACAGGTGACCGTGCCTCCTCTGAGCTTGGGAGCACTGGATAATGTGACCTTCAAGATGCGCCATCCTCTGACATTCTAGCAGTGTCCTTCCAGTTACACTGTGCAGAGTCATGTGTCCTCCGACTTTCAGCAGTTTAAAAGGACTACCCTAAGCCTCTTTTCAATCTCTGACAGGTCTGTGGGCTTTCTTCTGTTGTCTCTTTGGTTTCTATCAAGGGTTGCTTATCTTAAAAGCCAATCTGGGTCTCTCTTTTAGCAGAGTTAAGAGGTAGAGTAAAAGGCTGTCTCCGTCTCAGCAAGCGACTCTAAAACCACTGTCTTCCCTCCCCCAATGGAACCAGCAAAGATGAGCTTCTATGCTTCTCCATAGTTATTTGAAGGGAAACGTTTTTCCATAATCTGATCCTTGAATCTCACCTTCTGCAAACATACTGCAGACACCACAGACTGGAACAAATGGAAGGACTCTCTCCCTGGCCTCCCGGCACCAACACACCTTAAACTCGGCGCAGAAAGAGGAAAAATTCTTGGTGGTTCTGTTAAGCTACAGTAGGCATTTTTCAGCCTCACCAGCTCTTTCTAGCTGTGTCCTTACCTCTGTTTCCAACTTTCCTGTCTCTGCCAAACTAAGGCAGGGAGAAGGGAAGAAAGGAACGAAATTAAGATGTTCAACTGGATACACCCACAGGAAATATTTGGCTAATTCTATAATAACCCGAGGAGCACAGAGGTAAAAAAGAAATGAGTTCACTCTCCAAACTTTTGAGGGAAGAGGTAAGCCAATCACAGACTGCTAGCTGGGAGAGGCCATAGGTGTTAACTTATCGGGCACACTCATTTCACGAATGACTGAGTGTCCTGAATAGCTGTTAACTCCCACCTAGATACTCTAGGATGGACTGACGTTCCTTGCCTAGAGCAGTGTTGTGTCCACCACACTCAACACCGTTGCTGTGTCAGTTAGGAACACCTGCTGGGGCCCAGGATGGCAATGAAGACGCATTCCTGGTGTCCAACAACCCCACAAATGCACCCAATGCGAGAACACACGCTGTTCGGCTTCCCTACCAGGCTCACACTCTTGATGTGGTAGAGAGAAAAATACAGAATCTGGCATATGGCCCATCATTTCCCCTGACTTCGACAACTCGGTCACCGACACAGCTGAGGGATGGGCAGGAAAAACACCCTTCACCTCTAAAGTCTTTGGAGCGAAGACCACAATCACCCAGTGGCGTAGAGGCCAGAGCCGCTAGAGCGACCTGCTGCCATCCTGTCCCCTTGGTACGCTCTTTAAGTCATGGAGTGTTTTCTGCGGTTTACAAGTCTGGCTGTTGTCAAGGTGTGGGCCACATCCTCTGCAAGGCGCGAACCCCGGTAGCTTAGTTTACAACAAAGTCAGTTCTCCCCAAGAACACCAGCCGGCAGACCCCGCCTCTCTCGGGTTCCTGGGGGCTCAGCTACAACCCACGCCGCCACGCGCGAAGGTGCAGCCGCCCCCGCTCCGTAAGCACTTGGGGTACCCTTCGCCCTCCCTCGCCGCCGCGACACCCTCCGGAGACCGTGCCCACCCACACCGGCGCCCACCTGCGGGGGTCCGGGCGCGCTCCCGCTCCCGCGGCGGGCTCCTCGGCGCCTCCATGCGGGCCGCGCGCCTCCACCCGCGCGCACCCTCCGCCCCGGGTACAGCCCGGAGCCCCGCTGGCTTCCCCGTCGCCGCGATCGCGAGCTCAGCCGCGGAGACAGCGGTCCGTGCTCCCGCCCACGAGCGCAGACTGACGTGCACCGCGGCCAGTCAGAAGCTGGGGAGGGCCCTGGGGGCGGGGCCTCCGTGCGAGGTCGGAGAGGAGGGCGTGGGGGCGTGGGGGCGTGGGGGCGTGGAGAGCTCCGAGGCCCAGTCACTCGCTGGCGGGGCTCGGCTCAACCCCCGGGGCTTCTCCGGGCACACCAGGGCTCCGGGCATACCCGGGGCGGTCCACCTGCTCGGATCCCGAGCTCTGCACTGAAGCCAGCGAACTTGGAGGCTGATGGGGTCGAGGGATCGACGGCCCACGCCCGCCCAGGACACCTTGGTGCCTCGGTTCTCTGCTCGCCAAGGAACAAACCTGCTCTGTCTGCGCCAGAGAGCGAGAGAATGGAATCCAGAAGCTTCTGCCCGTCCCAGGGGCCTATTCCACTACGTGGGGGCAGGCTTCCTCGCCTTTCTCTGTGGGTCAGCAGAACCGGCTAGTGCGTGCTTGAAACTGTTTAGGGATGGAACAAGGGCATACTTGACACAAAGAGGTTCTGTAAAATAATTTCTTAAAAGTTAAAAAAAAGAAAGAAACGCTAGCAGAAGTAAATGACCCAGCAAGAAATAGATGATTGTTTTGCTCTTCATTCCCTAATTTGATGGACCTCCCACTGTGTGTTTTGTTTTGTTGTTGTTTTTTTCTTGTCCCCAGAAGAAAAAGGAAGAAAATCAAAATCCCGATGAACACTTCCCTTTTCTCGAGAGTAAATGGATTCCAGATACAAACAGTTTTGCATGTGGAATATTCTGGCAGTCTCTGGGAAAATAAGCTCCATAACTAAAGAAAGATGTGGAAACAGCCTGGAATTTTCTTTTTGAGTTCAATAGCCTTGGGGCAATGTCAACAAGTTATTGAAACGTCGCAAGCGTTTCTGAGCCGCAGAACAAAGGATGAGGGAGAGGATCATGTCCTCCAATTTAGTCACGCCTGTGAAATCCCTGTCAGACCAACAGCCGGTGACACAATGCCAGGCAATTAAGAGAGCTGGCACGGGACATGTGTTCTGAGTGTGCATTTTGCTCGTGGAATTGGTAGAGTTTCCACGGCTTACTGAGGCCCGTCAAGTGCTGGTGCAGAATTCAATCTAAGGTCTGACCTCAGTCACTCACACGTTTTCTAGCACGGGATTCACAGAAGGCAGTAAAAATGTTCCCAAGCTTGCTGTGTGTTTAGAATGGGGAAAGAAAAATCTCTTGCCCAATTCAGATATTAGACATCAAGGAGGGTGGTTTTCTGCAGCTGTAAACCATCCCTTGCGTGTATAGGGGCACACTACTCACACAAAATTAATGACTGAAGACCGTTGGGCCTTTTAAACCTAAACAACGTTATGAGCAGCGACCAGAACAAATTGCCTGTTCTAGAAACTGAAAGAACCGAGTCTAACTTCTTGTGGTATAATAAAATTTACTGGAGTTCCTCTACAAAACAAATTAGCCAGCCAGTCTCCCACCCTCCTGCTGCAAAATAGTCTTTATGAGCACTGCTGTTTAGACTGGCCTAAAATCCCTTCACTTAATCCACACTTAAGATTTCATGGTTGTCGCCAAAGTCCTTTGTGTTCCCCAAGCAGAGTGGGCGGTCTCGTAGGGCAGGGCTTGAAGAGCTGAAGCCCCAGCTAGACCACCAGGCTTGCCTGAACACTGGCTGTATGATCTTCATAAACTAACCAGTTTTGTGCATCGGTTTCCTTGCCTATAAAATGGGTCCCATAAGACTGTTTTGCGGGTTTTCCCCCCCACAGGAATTGAATGTGTACAAACCTGTTGGAATAATACTTCACATATAATTACCATATTAACATTAAAGCTAATAAACATACAGATGTCTGACTGGCTTTCTGCTCTACCTTTGTGTGATTTACTATGCTTTAGCAATGAGGTTGGCTGGGCTGTTTTGTTTTTTTGGGGGGGGCGGTGTTTGGTTGTTTTAAAGAGATTATGTACTCTTGTAGGATAGAAAGCTGGTCAAGAATTCCTAGCACTGAGATCAGAACTTGCTAAAGATTTAGATCAGTCAAAACTTCACATCCACAGGCTCCACTCAGATACCCTCACATACCCAGTCATCAAATGTCCACCTGAGAGTGCCCTCCAGCTGAGACGGTGCCAAGAGCTACGCTCAGGGACACTAACCGTTCCCCGGAGGGGTCAGAATGAATGGCCAGAGCAAAGGCTGTGCAGAATAGCTGCAGGATGGCTGGGCCCAAAGAAGAAGAGGGAGGGGAGGAGAGAGAGCAAGCAAGGGAGCCTGGACAGAAGTTCCCAACAGCTACCTCATTGGAATGATTGTTTTCATGACCATTTGGATCCTGAAAACCGAATGTGAATGTCCAGGACCATTGAAGACGTTGCCAAATGTACTTTCCATTGTTATGTCAGACCGTACATTTTACTTAGGTTTACTTAGTCACACATGTGCCAGCCTCCGGCTAGGACAAGGTGACATTGATCGTGAGAGCCGCGAAACCTGTTGCACTTTGTTCCTGTAATCATTATAAATCATTTCTACTGAAAGTTTCCTTGGCAGACTTAGTAGCCCGTAAGCGAGACAGGTAGCTTTAAGAACCAACCTATTCAGCACACCTTCCAAGCATCCTTTCTTTTATTTCTAGCTAAACTTTATAGGGTAGGCTGTCTACACACAGAGCTTTCCATTTTAGACTTTCAATCATGTTGTGTTCCTTGGCCTTGAATCAGTCACGCCCCCGAATGTGTCTATTACCACGTCTTAAGTAGTGAACTCAAATGGAGCATGTTCACATAGGTGTTTCTATGAAATATATGAATACATGAAAGAGGTTAGCATCAGGCACACTCCGGAGCTTTCTTGGAGGAGGACATTACTTTGGAAATGGCTCCCGTGCTCCCCTTGTTTTCCAGTGGTAAGCCATTATCCACTGTTTTCAGCCATACTTTCATCTTAGAACTGAGCAACATGTGAACTCACTGTATTTGGTTACACACTGGCTTCCACTTAAACATCTTCCTCCAAGAGGAAATGTACAAAGGGAGATGCCGGCCCCCTGGTTACAATTTGCATACTGAGAATGGACCACACAATGGGTTTGGTCAGTATTCAGAGAAAAAAAACTCCTGGAGGGAATGTATGAGTGAGGGCAATATCAGGCTTCCAACCGAGAAACAGTGAAAAGTCCTAGTTCATTCTCACTTCCAACTGTCTTGGTGGGAAGGGCTAAATACGCAAACATAAAATGTATTATTTTAATGGGCCGGCAAAGACGGCTCAGTAGGTAAACACATCCACTGCCACACCTATGATCTGAGCTTCATCCTGGGACCCAAGTGGCAGGAAAGAATCTACTCCTGCAAGCTGTCCTCAGACTTCCACACAACACTCTGCAGCACACAGGTGCCGTGGGTGTGCCTGCGCTTGAACACACTCAAAATTAGCAAATGAATGTAATAAGAAATTTACAAAGTATTCATTTGACTGCCTACAAGTATACAGGTCACAGACATTCAGAAGTTTCACTTTAGCCAAGTGTGGTGCAAGCCTCCATTCCAGCACTCAGAAGGGAGAGGCAGTCAGATTTCTGAGTTCAAAGCTAGCCTGGTTTACATAGCAAGTTCCGGGCCAGCTAAGGCTACAGAGTGAGACCCTGTCTCAGAACATAACATTCACACTGAGATGCGACCATCACTGATCACCTGCCTCCAGAATTCTTTTCCTCTTCTCAAACGGAAAGTTGGCCTCCTCTAAACACACTTGATTCCCTCCTTCCAGCTCCCGGGAGTCACCATTGTGTTTTCTGTCGTGACGAGTCTGACTAGTGTAGACCCCTCATGTAAGTGGAGTCACACAGTATCTGTCCTTTTGTGACTGGATCGTCCTTTTTAGCATAGCTCCTAACTCCATCCACGTGGTGGTAGATCTGAGAACTTCCTTTTTAAAAACAGATGATATTTCATGCTATGCAAATGCCATCTCTTGTTCATTCCTAATCTTTCGATAGGTACTCTTTGATCATTGTAGAGAATGCTCATCCGAACAGGGGTGGACTCACACTTCTCTAGAGTCTGTGTTTTCATAATGAGATTATTGGAAAATATGCTATTTCTATGCAGGAATTCTTGAGAAATCACCATGTAGTGTTCCACAGTGGGAATTGCTCCCACAGCATCGGATGAAGGTTCTAACTTCTGCTCGTTCTTTCCTACACTTACCATCATCATTGTCATCATCTCTGCAGTATGGAGCCACCCCAGGGGCCTCAAGATTAATAGGCAGATGTTATGCTTCCGAGCTGTATCCTCTCCTTGCATTTATTATTATTATTATTATTATTATTATTGCTTAAAATTTGATAGATAGTCAATCTATCAAATGTGGAGTGATACTTTGTGTTTGGAACTGTGGTTTCTCTAAGGATGTATTGACCATGTGCTTATTGACTCCTCTCTCTCTCCACACACACACACACACACACACACACACACACACACACACACACGTGTGCATGTGTAATTTCTTTCTTCCATCACTGTTGATATTCCTGCATTTGAGAATTTGAGAAGCTCTTCTTTTTCTTCTTGCATTCTGTGTTGTGTCTCATGTTGTTTCTTATTTCCATGAAGTTCCTGAATAACTACAAAACCTTCTATACCAAAATCACTTAGGGTTGTGTTTATAAATCAATGTGTTTATACTAGACACCAGTGTGCAAGTCAAGAGGTAATGATGCTACCAAAATGGAACCTAGTTCTTGTAAGAGTCAGCCTCTAAAGGGGCTACCTCTTTAGCCCTCCAAGTTCCATTTAGATAGGCACTATCACTGTTCCCAATAACAGCTAGAGAACGGAAACACAGAGGGTTCACCGCATCGTGCATGCCCTAGAGCATTTAGCTAGCCAGAACAGTCTAAGACGTGAACCCTGCTTCTAAGGTCACATGGAAAACATTTCTGAAAAATGTGAATCCCTTACAGGAACTCAACAATCTCCAAAGCCACATG